TACTTTCTAAACAGTCGATGCACACCTCATCCTAGCGCGAAAATGTTTTTGTAAATTTTGAGTTTTTTAAATTGACATGTTTCCATTAGGATAATTTATTTTCATATTTCTGATTTTCTCAATCTTAAGGTCAGTGGAAACACTATTAGCTTGTTAGTCTTTGGGTCTGGCAGTAATCATGCCTTGTTAAATTTAACCAAAACTATGGGATTAATTGAAGTAAATTCTTATTTAAAAGTTTACCTTTTTTCATTGAGAACTGAGTTTTATAATTTTATGATCTGAACTATTAAAAAATGACAAAAAGAATACAAGAAATATGTATGGGGCAAATATATTTTTTACTACACTATACAAAATATGCAGAACTCTTGAATTTAAAGTATGAATCTTTTTTTTTGAAGTGCAAAATGATATTAGATGCATTTTAAGTACACAGACTGCCTAATGCAGCAGCATACTCTGTGAGAACATTTTCTCTCTCTTCTCTGAGCCTGTGTAGTGAGGTGGTGGAGGCTTTTTTCCCAGTTTAGTCTGCTTTGAAGGTTTTCTGATGGAAGGCTTGGAAAAGCATGACCAATTGATTGGAGGCTGCAGCCAACATGTCGCCTGGGTGTAAGTGAGGGTACTTAGACAAATCAACAAGAAGAGGCACAGCCCTGCAGCAGTGGATCACAGCTTCATGAGCTGCAGAAACCCGAAGCTAAACCACAGAAGGAAAAAATGTTGATTCTCCTGACCTCATTGACAAAGTTTGACCCATGAAAGCTGTCTTTAAAAACAGAAAGATCTGCTTTAGTTCAAGTTGAAAAGAACACTGATTGAAAAATAATCCAGCATTGATTCATGAAGACAAATGCATTCAGCAGTGGGCTTCTCATTTTGCTGCCAATCATCTCTCATCATTTAAACATAATCAGTAGCTTTGGGAGGAGTATTTCCTCCATCTGTCTTCTTTTTGTCTTGATTTTGTCCCTTTGTAGAATCATATCCTTCATTAGCTGCATTTCCATTACAAACGTGCACAAAACTTTATAGAACAAACACAATTTCTTAATTGCGATGCCTCCAGAAGAAACACAATTAAAATCATACATGAATACGTTTTTCATGTGATGTCATTAGAAAACATGCCGCGCCATCATCATCGTACCACTTCCTGTCATCTTCTTTGTCTTTTCTGCCAGTTAAACTTCAACATTTTATTATTTGCTAAAATTATAGGGGAAAAAAAGATGGAGACTGTATCCCAACTATTGAGAAAATTTACTCAAACCTCAGATTTAGGAAAAGCCATGTGGCTTTCCTCCTGTCTGTGGAAAATTGGAGTACCTTTGGAGATTTGCTTTGACAGCCATGTAAGTCAGGTTGTCTGATCCACATGAGCCTTGTTCAGGCTGGACTCTGACTAGAACCACCACAAATCCTCTCTGTTGTCTTCCTGGACAGGATCTCTCAGCGAAAGTCAGAACCTCTAAGTAGTGGTGGAGAAAGTACTAAAACACTGTACTTATGCATACGGACAAATAAGCTACAAAAATGAACTGCAGTAAACATAAAAGTATAACATTAACATATTTAATGTAAAATGCAGTGGAGTAAAAGTCAAAGGTACCCATGCAAAAATCTGTTTAAGTACAGAAACATTAAAAATGTACTCAAGTACAGTAACGAAGTATTTGTACTTCCTTACATCCTGTCACTTCCTCTAAGTCTGAGGTCAAAGTTGAATTGTTCCATCTCAGTAAATCTCTGTTTAGGGAGAAGTTGAGCTGTCTAAGTTTGATTCTTCAGTGATGGTGGAATGGAGCAGGAGATGGAGAGCCAATCAGGACCTGCAGCAACTCTTCAGGAATGTTGTGGTAAAAAATGAGCTGAGCTAAAAAAGCAAAGTGATCTATTAACTGACTAAATGAAGAAAAATCCAGAAAAAAGCAGCTGAAATGAGAACTGAAAGGGGCAGCATTCTGTAAAATTGACTTTTTCGAGCTTTACATCATGTTGTAATGTATTTCCCTCACCACAAACATATTTGGAGTGTTATCATCATTATTTTATGTTTAAGAAATCCTTTAATCTCCATGGCAACTATTCAGCTCTACAAAACGCCTGGGTGGACCTAGCCCCTCCTTCAAGGCACAGCTCCTCCTCGGAGCTACAGTTTCCAAGTTTCAGAGCTTCTGCCGCATAAAACGACTTCCCCAGTCAGCCCCTTCAGACTAGCCAGCAGCAGTTAGTAAACACCTGAAAACAACTGAAGGTAACACCTGATTGTGCTGTAAAATGACTCTTTGTGGTTGGAAAACACATAATGCAGCCCAAGGCAAGGTGCTCCGTCATCCAGGGGATTTTAGAGCAGAACTGCTGCTTCTCTACATGAAATGGAGTCAGATTGGAGATTCAGGGATCTGATCAGGATGCCTCATTTTCCCTGGAGCAGACCTAGAACCTAGAGGGACGATATACTCTTCAGGCTTGAGAACACCTTGGGGACCCCTGAATGAGCTGGACAGACAGAGATATGTGGAGTTTCCTGCTGGACTTTTCCCCCAGGAATCTGGTCATCGATATCTGGAAGACAGAGGATGGATAGAACTCTAAAATGAATTTAGAGCAAATGTAAAGCAAGCTTTATTTGTAAATGTTTTATTCATTTTTTTTGTTTTATATATATATTTACTATTGGAAAACAGGCAGGAAACAGTTTTTAAGCAGAGAGAAACTCGAAGTTCCTTCCAGAACAAATTCACAGCAACCTTTGTTTCCTGATTGACGGGAGCAAAGTGCTGTTTTCTGCTCCAGTATTAAAGTGATTACTTTCATTCTGTTGCGCCTTTTTCCATTCCTTCATTTCAACCATTTCTTCTCCTCCTCCAGTCTCTGATCAAAGGCTTCAGACAGTTTTCACTCCACTTCTATGCAGTAATGAACAAAAACAAAAACCCAGGAAGACAATTTCTTATTTTAGAAAACTTCAGAGGGATTCCCCAAATTATAAAAGCACACAGAGATGACATTTTTTGAAGAATGAAATCTTATATCGCTTTTAATCCTCGAAGCGCTGAGAAAGAAAAACAGGGTGATCTCAACAAATTGTCCTTTTGTTAAACAGCTTCCAGAGGACAAATTACACTGCAGCTTCCCACTGTTATTACTGCATTCAGCAAAGAGAGAACTGAATGCTAAGTATTAGTTCTGTTAGTCTTAAAAAATCTAAAAGCTTAGTCGACACTTCTATTGCACTTTCATCTTTTAATCGCTTTTTATTCGTATCTGTGTTTCCTCTTTATATCTTCCTCAATTGTTTGCTAAAAAGAGAATTACTCTGGTTGTGTGGTGGGATAGTTGTTGTCAACAGTGTTGTCTTGTAACAACAAGGTTCAAATTTTCTCCATGAATTCCAGTTTCCTCTCATAGCTTGATAAAAAATGCGTGTTGGATTTGTGGGAAACTCTAAATTGTTCTAAGGTGTGGTGTAAAAGATATGTACAGGAAAACAAAGGAAAGACATTAAAATAACAAAAATTCTTTATCTTTGCATAAATTGAGACCTGGATATATGCAACAGCTGGACATTACCTCATATTTTAATGTTGTCCAACAGAAAATGTGAAGCACGCATAATATTTTTTTAATTTTTGCAGGTGTTTTGTGATGTTTCTGAATAAGAGAGCCTCACACAGAATGGTATCAGAGTGAAAACTTTAACCCCAGCCCAGCTGCAGATCTCCAGATGTTAATAGGTTTAATATTCTTGCATGACTTCTATTCTGTGTGGTAAAAAATGCACAGTTTAGCCATATTATTGATGGGCTATTGACTCCTGTTATATGCATTTTCTTATTGTGGAATTTTCTGTGAAGAAGAATTTCCTCTTCACCTTCATTTTTGATTTGCTTCCCTCCCAACATTTCTAAAACTTGCCCTCATTTCAGAAAATGAAAAACAATTCTTAAATTAATTACAGAAACAGAAAAGTGTGAAGTATTTATAAAGGATTAGGAGTTTATTATGAAGATAATCCCGCAGAAATGTACTTTAAAGTGCCATACGTTGCTGTTTCTTTGTTTTTTTCTGTTATATCTCTGCTGTTTCAAAATATCCACCTTTCATTCTAAAGTAAACAGGCTTATGGCCTGGTACAAAACAAATGTTTTGGTCTCTATAGCTGTCACTTTGTATGACAGAGAAGTGCTGTGGCAGCTACCCAATGCTCCGCTTACATGTCAGTCTTGCGTCTGGAAATCCAAGATGGCAGCAGCCAAAGGACAAACTCAAGACTTCAAAACAGCAGTCCACAAGCTAGTGGGTGATGTCACACGGCTTATATCGGTCTCCCTTTTGCATTTTGTGACAGTGATAGAGGTCAAACCTATATAGTAATTTGTTTTACAGACTCTGTTGTGCTGTTTTTTAAAATCGTTTTGACTCTGACACTTATTCAGATACATGTTTTATGCCAAATTTGAGAACAATCTTGCCGCCAGTTGCTGGTGTTTCTCTGCTATTATGCTGCAGCTGGCAAGTAAAACTGCCAATGCAGTTGTGTTCAGCTGACAGACATCATTCTCCATCAAAGTTGCTGTGGATCATGGAAGGTCAGCACTGCTGGAAACTGCACCTCTACAGCTGTTTTACTGAGATGCCACCACTGGGCTGAATACTGGGCTGAAACATTGAATATTTAATAAATGCAGGGCCCTGCAAATGAATTCCTGCCCCGTCGTGTTGTTTACATCATCGCACGTTAAAACAAACAAAAACAATTAATGTCAATAAACAGTACATAACTATTAGTTGGAGGAAAATTGATCCAGGGATTTCAAAACTGTTTTACATATTCTAATCTGAAAAACGTGGTGTGTAAATATTTATTAACTCTTTGCCGCTCCAATCATTTAAACTCAGTTTATTTCAATTCATAATGTTCACAACAAATGTTACCTTGAGGCACTTTACAAAAAATGATTTCAGTAAAATCACACAAACATTACATTTGATCCTGATTATTGAACAGCTCATTTTATTATTCAAAGTCATTTAAAAAGTTTCTGTCTAAGGAAACCAATCAGATTGCATCGACTCAATTCAATTCAAAAACACTTTATTGATCCTAAAGGGAAATTAAATGTTGTTACAACTCAGAGTTATTGTAGATGGTAATGACAAGTCATTCATCGACTTGCAGCCTTCACTCCTCCTGGATGAGCACACAATGACGGAGACAAAAAACCTAAAGAACTGCTTAAAGTTTAGACCTGAATTCAGATAAGTATGTTGAGTTGAAAAATAATGTTCAAAGATGCTCCCCATCCAACAAAAAATTAAGCGCATAGATGTGCAAAACTGCTATAGACAAAATCCAAAAGGATAGAAGATCAGATTGTAGCAAAATATGTTTTAAAGTATTTACTCTGAGTTAAATATCTCAAACAAAGTATCTCTATAGACTCACAGCTTTGCAAAATACAGAATCTCATTTGGGAAAAGAAAATGTTAGTTTATGCCCAGAATAAAACAACTATGTTCTTTCATAATAGCCACTTGGTGCACAGAGTTACTGCTAAGGCTTCATCGATACCTTAGACTGGTTTTGCCTAAGTAATAGATTTTTTTTTTCATATGGGAATTACTATTAAATTAATGCTTCAGTCCTTAATTATATGTCTAATAACTGTGGGAATGATTTTAAATTTAGGCTATAAATGCAGTAAAATGTCATTTTGAGAGCTAAGCAGCTTTTTTTGCTATATACAAAAATCACTTTGTCATCTTTACCATAGAGCTTGATCTGCATCTGATTTTGGGTGTTGAATGAAAGATAGAGATGATCACATCTGATCAGGGCTAATTTAAAAAAAAACCCTTTTAAGCAGTTAACCCACATATAGAAAAGGTTTTGTCTCCTTTCCTCACCATCTGTAGACCCGTTCTTCCAGAGGGCGGGCCTCGCGCTGTGTCACTCATGTCAGTCCGGCGTCCTGATTGGTCTCTCTCCTCCGAGGGGCCAGTGGGCGGTGCGATGGTGCCACATGGAGCCAGCCTGATGCATCTGTGTCCGTTAGTCTGTTCCATCCTCCGGAGGAGTCAACCCGGAGAGTGTGGAACACTTTGGCGCATCATCCGCATCTATATGCTGGAACTTTCTATTTTAAACTGAGCAGAGAGAAATTATACTCCAGGTTATATTTTTCGTCACTGTTCTTTCTATTCATGCGTCTTTCATGTCCCCAAGAAACGTTGGGAAATGGGACCAGTCTGATCCATGCGTAAAAGTCCTTGTTGGGTGATTTATCCAGAGAGGACTGTCGGATTCCGTCCTGCGCTCTAGATGGAGGTTTCTTATCCTTCATGACAGAGGATCGAGGTCTTTTTTGAGCTTTTAAAGGAAATAATTTAACAAACGTAGCTGAAAAATACTTGTATTTCATCTAGAAAGATAATTCCTATTTCGCGCTGTTTTAAGGTGGATCTATGTGAGAGAGGTGCCCGTTTTCGTGGCTCCCGTGGACACTTTGCTGTCTTTTGTAAGTAAAACTGTTTTAATGGAAACATGACCAAAGGTGCAAGAGAAGCGGTTCTCCTGAACACCTTCCACCTGCTCCTGCTCCTGCTGCTGGTTTACGCTCCGCCGGTGAGTCTCTCCGCGCAGCGCAGGCATCCAGCGCACTACTTTGGCCACATCGCTGAGAACTCCCCGGCTGGATCGCCCGTTGATGGGGTCTCAATCTTGCTAGAAGCCGGAGTCTGCTCCGGTGCTAATCTTGACGGCAGCTTGTACGGGAATTATCCCTCTGATTTCAGGATCGTTTACGACTCTGAGCGTCGGGACCGTTTGATTCTGGTGTCCACCAAACCTTTGGACCGAGAGTTTATAGCGATGTACGAGTTGACGGTGGAACTCCCGCCCATGTGCCAGACGAGACCGGCGGTCGTCCAGGTTGAAGTGTCCGACAGGAATGACAACATCCCCCAGTTCATCAGCGGGAATAAAACGGTGGAAGCGGACGAGCTGGCGCCGCTTGGAACCGTCTTGGCTCGCTTTGACGCAAAAGACGGCGACGCGGAGAGAAATGGACGCACAACTTTTTACGCATCACCACAGTCCAGTTTGCTTCACGTGGTGCCACAAACCGGCCAGGTGAGGCTCGTAGGGTCGCTGTTGGGGGTCAAGCAGCTCACCCTGCGGCTGTACGTGAAGGACGGCGGGGACGTGGCGCTGATCGGTGACCCGGTGTTCCTTCGCGTCGACGTTCGCGGCTCCGGCAGAGCGCGGCGCAGACCCCGTGCGCTGTCCGAGGATCTGAGCTACACAGTGACCGTTCCGGACCACATCAGAGTGGGTGATCTGGTGTTCACTGTGCCGGACCAGAGGTTCGACCAGCGGTGGTTCGAGGTGATATCCGAGGCCGACTCGCCCGTACAGATCGAAAGGGACTCGGGGCGCTTGTACCTTGCGCGCAGTCTGCAGGAGCCAGCGGAGGTGATGGTGAAGATCCAGAATCTGCGAGGTAAGACGCAGACGCTTCATTCGTCCCTGCGTAAAGACGCAAAAGTAGCTTTACAGGATTCGATACAAGCTGCTGTTTTGGTTTCTGGGTCAGTTGGTTTCTTAGAATTCTGTACTTAAGATCATGAACAGTATTTTTATTGTTGGTATCCAATTGTTTATAAAGTTTATTTGCCTTAGTTTGATGTTTTTCTGGAGGTAAAGCGGGATCTAAAGAGAAGTAAAGTCCGGATGCTAAATTTAACTTTATTAAAAATAATCTTTTAATTTTGGTAAAATTCTTCTTCTGATCAGAGATCAAATTAACGTTTTTGAGTTGCACAATTGCAGTCTGGATTTGAACCTGTGGAAGCAAAAACATTAGGGTAATGGCAAGGTGGTCTTCCCACCATAAAGAGTTGAAGTTCATGACCAAAGATAACTTGGTTAAAAACAAGCAGAAACCCGCAAAAAATATGATAATAAATGCTTTTCAGTTGATTTTTGGCAAGATCATAAATGATTTTCGACAACCCACTTTTGTTTACAATGTAAATTAAAAGCAGTTCAATCATTTTTTATTTCAAAAATTGTCTTATATGTTAGGAGATGCTGGCTTCTTTCCGTAAGGGAACATCTTGATTAAATGAAAACCTTTAAATCGAAATCTGTTAAAGGTTTGAATAATTCTGGGTCGGTATAAAAAGCAATCATCGGCCACTTTGTTAGATACAGCTGCTCAGTTATACAAGTGAAACAACAAATTACATGTCAGCAACTCAGAGCATTTAGGTGTGGTGAAGACGACTTGCTGAAGTTCAAAGCCAGCATCAGAATGGAGGGAAAAAAGGAGATTAAACAAATTTGCAGTTTTCAGAAACTGTTGATTTAATCATAACCATCTATCAGGTTTACAAAAACGCCTTGTTGATGTCAGAGGTGAGAGGACATGGGCAGACATGAGGAAAATGACCGCTCCGAAAAGCTCAGCATGTCAAACAGTGAAGCAGATGGGCTAAAATTGGACAGTAACAACAATGGTATCTGGTTTGCAGCTCTTGATTCAGACAAAGTGAGTAAAGGAGCATTGAAATTTAGCCGGAGGTTGAAGTTTCCATAAGGAAGAGTGTAGAAACTCTTCACTACAGTCATCGTTGTTCATATTTTAGGTTTCATGCAGCTTCAGAAAGTTTCCTTTCACACTGCTGTGCAGATTTTTACTATGTTGAGAAGTGAGAAGTGTTCATTCAGTCGGTGTGTGTGTATGCGTGTGTGTGTGTGTGTGTGTGTGTGTGTGTGTGTGTGTGTGTGTGTGTGTGTGTGTGTGTGTGTGTGTGTGTGTGTGTGTGTAACGGCCCATGTGTTGGCTCTTCTCCAGCAGCTTGAATTGACCCCAACCGTCAACGGCTACTTTTCTGCTCTTTCATTCATTCTTCACAACACTCCACAGATCCCTGCCAAGTGTGTGTGTGAGAGAATAAAGGGAGTGTGTTAGGTTGTGTGTGCCGCCAGCAGACTGTTAAAGGACAAACAGTGTTTAGTTTGTAAGGTGTGAGCAAGCACACCCCAAAACACTTCACACACAGATTTTAGTTTTCCAGTTAGGAGAGGAAATGACACACACACACGTCGCTCCAGAAGTTTTCTCTGAAGCTGAATATTCAGATGGTTGAAGCCTCCTGATAGAGGGAAGGATTTGTTTTTGCTGCATGTTTGACTTCTGCAATGCAGCAGGAACTCATTTGCATCGTTAACTCCACTCAGTCTAAACAACAAATTAAGTTATGAAGCACTTATCTCATCTGCCAGTGTTTATTGAAATTCGGATGGAGAGTGGGTAGTTAATTTTTTTTCATTCTTCAGTAAAAATATTCCCGTTATATCACATACTGTATGTATAACCTTTGACATTCAGCTCATATAACCAGGAATAAAATATCCTTTTCTTAAGCATATCTCCAGTTTTTTATTTTATTTTTTATATATTTTGTGAATTATCAGTTGTAACCATGAGCAGCTGATATGAGTGGCATGCTCCATTAAAATAACATATATTTCCAGTGTTCACTAGTTTCCTTTTAGTCTTTTTTGTTTCCATTCAGTTGCATGGAATAAAATTCCATTTTTAAAATTAAAACAGTTACACTCAGATAAATAAGGCTAGGCATACTGATCAAAAGATCATATTAATCAGAATATTTACAGAAAAAACTCATGGTAACATTCCAACATTGGCCTTTTTTCAGAGCATGAATAAACACAGTTAACCATTTTAGACGTATGAAATGTAAAGTTACTGAAAAGGTTCATGTTAAACTGAACCTGCTCAGTCTGAAGAGGATTTTCTCTTCAGTTTATTCTGTATAATAAAAATATACTCAGCATGGAGCACAACTTCTAGTAGATACTGAACCTTTTTAGCTCGTTTTGCATCTTTAGATGCTATAACAGGAAACCAACTAGTCTCATCTAAACTGAACAGGAATAGATTGGAAAAACTACCAACTTAATTTCAACAGAAACACTGGAGTCTGATTTTGATATGATCAACATGAAAGAGGTGATTTAGCCAAATTTCCTCAGCTTTGGTATCTGTGAACAAACTGTTCACAGATTGTCTTCTAAATGACAGAGGATGGTTGTTTTACGATACTTCCTGTAATGAAAGCCCTTCATAAACCAGTGTTTGTTAATTATACTCTTAGGTTTTTGATAACGGTAATTTATTTTGTTAAAAAATATACTTTCTGGATATTTGTTTTAGTTGTCTAGAAGTTTGGCTCTTGGAGATGTTAATTTATTGAAGGTTTTTTCAACTTCTCATGTAGAGTCATTAATTTTACACAATCTTGTTTTCATCGTCTTTACACCCACATTCCTCCAGTTTTGAACAGTTTCTTGGTCACAAAACTTATCTTTTGCTCATTTGTATTTCACATGTAAAGGAGGAAGATCAATGAAATTAAGAATTGTATCCATCATTATTCATCAACATATTTAATTTGATCATTTATGAATGAAAGTTGTGGTCAGAGAGGGTAATGCCACGGTCTGAAGTTGCATGATGAATCGATTATTTAAATAATTGTCAACTAATTTAGTCATCAGTTAATCATTGACTTGAATACATATTTTGAAAATGACCATTTGCTGAAAGAACAACATATTCAGAGCAGCCACTAAGCCAAAACTGTATAATAAATGTATACATTTTGCATTTATGATCGGTTAATTTATAAATTAGTTAACAGATCAGCCTTATTGATGTATTGATAAGTCAGACAGCGTCTTTTTAGCTGAAGATGCATCCTTTGCTGCTAACGGTCACTAAGGGAATGCTGTTATTGCATTTTAGGCAATAAAATGTGTTTTTGTATTTTATTTGCATCTTTCAATGTGTTTTTAATATTGCATAAAAAGGCTTAAGTGGTTAAATCATGAGAATAATTAATAGATTAATCGATTACTAAAATAATCTTTAGTTGCACTTGCAGGTTTTGTCCTGAATCGCTTAAGATTAAAGTTTACAATATAATATCCATATTTTGCCAATCATTTGGATAAATGTGGTGATGTTTGAAGAAACATTTCAACTTTTAAATCAAACTTTTCTGGAACACCTTAAAAAAAACCCCGGATCGTCTGTCCATCACAATAAACAGTCAAAGTTTAGGATAGTTAAAACAAATCAAGGAGAATATCTGGGAGCAGCGTTAATCAGAGCTGCTGGCCAACATGTAGTCAGTCTGAAGTGAGCTGATGGCCAGCAGCTCAGATCTGGTTGACGGGTTGAAATGCCATCCAGATGCTGCTGTGACCCCCTCACACTCAACCTAAAGTAAATGTTTAACCAAGAGCCTAAAGTCATCCCATCTGGACAGCCATGGTGGCAGCTTGATGTTCTGGTGAGGTCTGGCTAATCAGTCAATCCAAACAGCGTCTTTGGTATTTATTTGTAAAAATTAGTTGTGTTTGCTCACCTGGGTCTCTCCCAGGTCTGAACACATGGACGGCAGCAGAACCAGAGCTCTGGACAGGAAGCTGTGTTTGTGTTAAAACAGAGCAACAGGCCCAGGTTGGCTGCGGTTTGTGGCCACAGAGGAAGAGAGTGGGATTTGGGCGCTGTAAACTGTCCGGCTGATTGAGACGGCCTGTCTTTCGTCGGCTGCGGTGGAGATTTAGACGTGTGGGAACGAGCTCTGAGCAGCAAACGTCTGCTTTGAATTGTCTTCAGGAATTCAGTGACAAACATCAGGCCACAGTTTGGACATCAGTGACTAAATTATTGTCATTTTGGTCAATAAAAACATATTTTAATATCAGTATCATTTCCCTTCACATTCATCTGCTCTCACACCAATCACTTGCATTTATGCAGGCATTTTAATTATTTAAAAACCACACAGGACTCTGTATCTTGTGCATTACTGCAGATGGCAGTGAGTGTACTGATGTCGAATTATTCTTGACTCTGGTAAATAAAAAAATGTTCTTTTGTTTTTGGTGATTAAGTGAGCCTTAAATATTATTTATTACCTTAACACATGAATATATTAATAGGGTCAAACTGTTTGTGGGTCAAATGAACAGTATGTATAGTAACTGCTTAAGGTTATTTTCAAAGGTACATTTATCCCAACTAATGAGTGCATAATTTAATTTATTGAATATAATTGTATAATTTAGTTTTATTAGCTGTGCACTTAAAAATATACTGTAATTGTTGATTAATGGCCATGCAAAACTGCAACGCTGTCAAAGGAGTCTGGAGCTTTTAAAGATAGAAAAATAAAGTTCTGAATTCTATTTTAAAAGTCAGGAATGAATGGAAACATTCTAATTCATTTAGCTGAGCTGATATTAACAATTCAAAGTATTTTTTGTTATTTGAACAGAAAGTGTTTTGCCTTGTTTTGAGCTGCATTGATCAGGTTTCACACAGTCTACCAGCGTATAAACCTTCATCTACTTCAGATAACAGACTGTGTACCTGCAGTAATGAACTATTAGAAATGTTTGAAA